TTTTTTTAATTTTGCTTCACCTCAATTCCAAGAATGAACGACATAAGTCCAAGAGCTGTCATCTCAAGTTCTTTCACCATAGTTTGCTTAAATTCTTTGAATAAAAGTGGATTATTCCTTATAAAACTAAGATCATCTACATATAACAAATAAGTAATATATCTCAATTATCATGCTTTTTCACATGGAGGGCATTCTCACAAGGGCATTGAGTGCAACTATGTTGTTTGAAATATGACTTGATTCCTGTAGTTCATGCCCATTCCTTAATTTACAAACTTTTGATTTATGGTCGTCTTTAATATATCACAATGGTTGTTCGACATATACTTATTCTTCAATAAATTAATTTAAGAAGTTAAATTTTACATTTGTTTGATAAACAAATCAATTATTCTGTGCAGCAAGGAAAATAATTAAGCGAATAATTTTCAATCTAATAACAAGAACAAATTCCTAATTATAATCGATACATTCCTTTTGTTTGTATCCTTTGCCACTAGACATGTTTTATTCTTTTCAAATACTCCCTTTATATTCTTATTTATTTTATATACCTAATATAAAACAATAGCTTTATGCATAATTGGAAGTGTTGTGAGCTCTCATATATCATTTTTCACTAGAGATTTGATTTCTTCATCCATTGTGCGTCTCCATTTTTTATCTTTTATGAGTTATTCAAAATTCAATGTCTCATTATGAGCAAACAAACAAATTAAGTGAAGCTTTCTAACACGTTTTGTCTTTCTTTGATTATTGCTTGAGCTTGTTAAGGAGGCACTTGCGCTTGGAGGATGTGAATAAGATTCCTGCAATTAATTTCTGGATGATTGCTCTAAATTTTGTAACTCTATAGGCACTCATGCTTCTTTTTGAATATTGGCACTCATGCTTCTTTTTGAATGACTTAATTTTTTCAATCCTATGCTCCTTTTCATCAAACTTTACATTCATACTAAAAATAATTTTTAAATTGTTATGATAAAAAAATTTATATGATTTAGAATAATACTGTTATGACTCTTAATTAAGGCTAATGACATACTTGTAATTTTTCATGCCTCTTGGAAGACTTATCTACTTATAAATAGATAAGGGGTCTTGTGCGGAGTTATGACCATCACAAGGAGAAAGAAAATTCTCTTCAAGAAGATCAAGAGGAGGAAGAAAAATTCAGCAAGGAGAGGAAGAAGTGGAGAGGCTTTAGAATTGAGGGAGAGATCTTAGATCTTGTAGAGAGAGAGAGATCTAGAGAGACATGGTGATTCCTCAATGAAATGAGCCTGTAATTCTTCTTTTGTGCTAGTGAATTTTGGTAGCAATTTCCTCCATGGATGTAGGTCTAAGGACTAAACCATGTAATCTCTTGTGTTCTTGTGTTTGTGTTCTTTGTGACATATCCTTTATTTCTGCAGCTTTTCAGTTTTCCTTTGTTTTTCCCTTGCTTGGTTACTGTTGTTGCTCCCTTCTTCGTTATGTATCCAAGAATCGTAGAAGGGAGGAATTCGGCTGCTACAGGATCAAGAACTGTAGCAAGAAGTTCCAGCAAGGTGTTGTCGATTGCAGGTGTTAAGGTAGCAGTCCTTGGCCAGAAGGATTTACGACTTGCTTCTACAAAAGGAGGGTTGTTATATGAAGGAGGAAGATGGTCAGATGAGTTGATGTGCGCAGTTCTTTATTCTTGTCGAATATCCAATCAAAGCTTTCATCACTCCTTTCTGGAAGAGGTTCTGGGAAGATTTAGTTCAGTGGATGTGAAGAGCTCCATTCAGTGACGATGACTTGGGGTGTTTAAATTCCAAGAAGGAATTTTATATTTAGTTTGCAACCCTATTCTTGCTGAAAACAAGATTTGGATATATATTTAGTTCTCAATCATCTAACTAAATACACAGAAAGTTCTTTGGAAGATTTTCTTTCAGGTGTTCTTGGAACTCGATAAAAGGATTCTTGACGGGGCAAGATTTCACAACAAATATCAATGAAGATGGGTTTGAAGCTTATGTCATCCAACTTAGTCCTATTTTTGTCTAGGAATATGCGCTCATGCAATGCCACCAAACTAGTTCAGAAGAGAGATATTTAGCATTCTCCATGCCCAAGCTTCCCGAGGCATCTTATCATGTAAAATTGAAGTCAGACATTAGTTGAGAATATAAACAATATGTCTCAACCTAAGCCCAAAACTTTCTAGACATATATATTCTTGCTTTTAATCATGCTTCACACCATGGTAAGAATAGGATGATTTTTTTTCCACTACAACATTTTGTTGGGTTGAAAAAGGTGTTGTTAGTTGATATCGAACATCATATTTTTCATAATAATCTTCCAATATTTAAGAAACAGCTTCGCCACCTCGATCTGATCGGATGGTTTTTGTCAAATTAGCATTTTCATTCTCCACTTTTATCTTGAATTTCTTATACATGCTAAAAGCTTCTAATTTTTCTTTTAAAAAATAGACCTAAATTTTTCTTGAAAAATCATTAGTAGTAAAATTAAGAAAATAGTGATGCTTACCAAATGATGTCAGAGCAACAAGTCCATATAAATCCATGTGAATCAATTGAAGAGGCTTCTTTGCTCTAAAATATGCTTCATTTGGAAATTTTTTTTTCTGTGTTATATTTCAAATACACATCATCCACAAATTTGATTTGAATGATTGCTACTTGACAACCCACATACCACTCTTTATTTTTACATATTATTTAAATCTATTAAATATAATTGTTTGAGCCTCATATGAAAAATATATGATGAATATTTTATACAAGTCCTTAAGCATTTCATCATGTCATTCTTTATAATGATAATAAACATTCTATTATTTTTCATCTTCACTTAGGCTATTCATTCATTTAAATTATTTTTAATAGTTAGCTTTTTTATATTCATATAATCCTTGTTCAAGTAATTGCCTCAAGCTTAAAATATTATTCTTCATATCTGAGATATATTAAACACCAGAAATAAATTGATGACTTCATCTTTAAAAAGAATAATGATTTTGCATCTTCCTTTTACTGGAATTTTTGAAGAGTCCTTGAAATAAATTTGAATCTCCATTGCTTACATCTCTACGAACATGTCTTTATTTCCACGCATATGATTACCCGCTTTGATATCTAAATGCTATTTTTTTTTCATCTATCTCTTCTGAATGCTAATAATAAATAGGATCCACTTCCTTTTTATGACCAAGTTAGTTTTTACTTGATTATGATAACATTCGGAAGCACGATGATCAATTTTTTTGCAAATATAACAACAAATACATGATTTTTTTTTTCTTTCTTCCAGTTTACTTCATTTTTATTATTTGAGTGTACCGAATACTAAGACGTTAAATAATCACACTATCTTCGTGAATCTTCCAACATGCAGTAGTTCTAAATGCAAAAATCATACTTTAAGTATTAGATATGTAACAAAGGAATTGTGTGGTATGTGTCTTAAAACTATTATTTACAGCTTAGTTTATCTGACCACAAAAAAATTGTAACGAATGAAACACGTTGTATATATTAATTAACTATAAACAAAAAAAGAAATGAAAAATATAATACTGTTTTCTTTTTATTTTTTTTTTAATTTTTGAGAAATACAATGCAAGTTCATCACGTCCCATGCGAAAACCTCAAGTGACAAAACAAAACTTTCATATTTTATATTTTAAAAAAATATTTACCTGAAATCTAGGTTCTGAAAAGCACTCAATTATCTTTGATTTCTTCCGTGACTTTGTATTGTTTTGAGTACATGCATATCAAATATATGTACCATATTTTCTTTTGGAATTTTGTACGTAAATTATATATATATATATATATATATA